CACACACACACACACACACACACACACACACACACACACACACACACGCACGCACGCACGCACGCATATACACTCAGGCACACGAAAACAGAGACACAGGGTGCGCGAGCGCGCACGAGAGAAAGATACATACGCATTGTAAACCAATTATACATGCTCACGTTTACAACGATTACTATTTTTTACGTTTTGTTCTAACCCCAGAGGCTCTCGTGAGCCTCTATGACGCTTGTGATCTTACTTACTTCTGTACGACCGTACCAAGGACTCTCGAAAACGAAATGGAAATTCGAGAAGGATTTCGAGCCTCCGTGGTGGTCTTACGAAAAATTTTATGCCTCGGTCGTTTTCGATACTTATCGTAGTTTGTTCGTTGCTCCTAGCTCCCTCCACAATTTTCTCACCCCGAATGTTTTCGCGAATGCTTCCTGTCTTCCCCGGTTGGCGATCGTCCCGCGACGATCACGATCATTCTCGGCGACGAATCCGGGGACGGGGAAGACGCCACGGTCGAAATTCGTAAGGAAGGATCCTCCGGTTTTTTGAGCTCGGTAATGAGACATTTACACGTAGACTCAAAGATCCCGAGATGGAATCCGTCTTCTTCAGCGTTCCCAGTGAACGGTTCGCTATTGGCAGCTGGTCTCGGTAATATTTTAGCAAAGGTTGTATTGATTTACGCTTCTTAGCAGGTGGAGAAGGGATGTTAAAAGTACAGCTGAGCTTTGAATCGAATTCCAATGAACGGAGCTGTTGCCATATATCAATGAGTGAATATTGAGTGCTCTTCTTAAAATTAATGTAATATTTACGGGGAATGGTAATTATTTCTTTCTTGATATTTTGAAGCATCTTCGAAACATAATTATGTTACATATAAATATATGAACTTGGAGCCATAGATCAAAAATCAAATTTATGAATTGATAAGAGTATAATAAACGGAAAAGCGGAAAATCAATAAATAACTGAGAGGAAAATTCTAGAAAATTTGAAAATTCCAGTCGAAACATGTTAGTAAAAATGAGATTAGTTAATTAGTGAGGCTGCCAGGCGAGCCGTGTCGCGAGGAACGAGAGCAAAATTCGTTTAGCGCATGTGAAAGACTGAATCAGAGGGCATAAAATTTTGCGACACATTATAGTCAGTTTCTGTTCCTCGTTTGTTTCTCGATGTTCGCATGATAATAAAACGGCGGCGATACTGTAATCTCGTCGTCGTACCGACCGGAAACCAGCCACATCTTTCGTAATGTGCTTGCAAGCAGCGTTAACGTGTCGCGACACGTCGCGACCATAAGCGCCGAAAAATAGAAAAAAAACTAAAGCAAGAAAAATAAATTGTATATAAAACGAGTTCTCATTCGATGATAGACAAAGAAGAAAAAAACAACCATGGTGCTCTGCATAATCTATTTTTTACGAGAAGAAACGTTCCATTAATGCGTAGGGTATTTACTTATATTCTAAGGTCATTAATATTTAATAGTGCCCCACTGTGTACATACTCTCTACAGCATACAATTTAGTTTTTAACGTGATGCGAGGAGAACCCGTTTAAACAGTCTACACACGCTGCATACGCATTCATACCGCGTGACACACACATATACACACACGCATACACATTTACACATGTACACACGTAAGCGACGACGCTAGGTCGTTGATAGTCTGACAATATTATCGCATATTTCGAATGTATTATGAAATCATTACGATAACTACCTTTCCCAAACTCGCTTGCAATAAATAACACGTTGGAAATTAATCGTGCACGCTTATTTTGTCTTAATAATAAACGTCGTAATATTAAACATGTACCCAACTAAATTGATTTATACTTTAAGGACGATGGTTCACATTCGGAATACTTGTTGCCTACATCTATGCATTCACACCAGTTAAAATAATGAAATGAGTACACAGGTAATTAAAATTTTTTAGATTTATGTAGCTTCTGTTACACTTTAAAGTTGGCATTGATGTGTATTCATAAGAACAGCTTTTAAATTTTCAAATTTCAAAGATAGAGGATGGATACCAATGAACATCGACTACAGATTTGGATTTTCATTTCAGATTGTGACATCCAGCAAAGGCAGCACGCGGCATTATCGATCATGGGTATCATTCCACTTCCTCTATGATCGGGCCACTCGAAGGACTTCCTCCCTGGCCACTGCATCTTCCAAACGATGGCGCACCAGCGGTTTCGTACAATTTTGTTATAATGGGTTTACAGACCTAAAATGAATGTTGAACTTATTAATTATAAACTCCAACTATCCCCATAGCTTTAAGTATTCCAACAATGAACTATTCGAACAATCGCAACCCTAATCGAATCTCACTCTACCTCTGACCTTTGAGTGTTTCGACAAATTTGAGAGTCATTTTTTAATCGATCAATATTCATGAACAGATAAATTTAATCTCGAAATCATGAATCGATAACACTGTTCCACTGTAGACAATGACCCCCTTGGATGTACACACAGGCTAGGTACACAGTAGAGAACCTAACATTACAGATGTGATGCAGAATCCTGTATCTCGCTCGTGATAACAAGCCCGTGAGTCAGGAACGTTCGCTTTATCACGAGAGGCTGGGCGAGTTACCCTTAGCAGAGAAGCAGGAGACCAGTTGAATCGATCTACGACCTCAATGGATTGTCGAGGTAGTTCAACCTCGGTGGCGCTACGTATTTGCTTCAGGAAGGAAGAATATCATATCTGTGCCAGCATTATACGTGACCGACAAAGTCTCTAAACAGATTGTACCGCTTTAAAAATTAGGATTGAACATAAGCACGACCGTGTCGATTTGAAACCCGCTGACTAAGGGTGACTTTATTTACTATAGGACAGGACCTTATTACAAGTTGGAGAGTTTTTCAACTCTCGTTGCGTTTCACCCATCCTTTCAATTATTTCATTCAATTCATTTTCCTTTCGTTCTCTCATATTTTCATCTTGCAGTTTTTCCCTGCATTTTTCTAGTATATTTTCTAGTATATTCTTATTTTCCTTTCATTTTCTTTTCTCCCCTGTATTTTTTTGGATTCTCATTTTCCCTACATTTTTCTTTCATATCCTTTTATTTACCTTCTCCTCCGCTTTCTTTTCAATTTAGATTAATTGACTTTATCAAATAAATGTTTAACTAAACGAATGAACACGAATGACTGAAATGTCCGAACAAACTGCACGAAGCAATATTTCCCGTGCGTCGTACTCAACAACAGCTAGGAAGGCGAAAATTAATCCACTTCAACGGTGAAATATGTAACTACCTGCTCAGCTTCCTTCAGCTTAGCCACGAACTCGTCCTCCGTGGCAGAAGCGCTGGTGTCCAACCACTTGATGATGTGGTTACACGTGTCAGCGATGCGTTTTCGGTCGTCTTCCGCTATCTTCTCCTTCACCTTGCTGTCCTCAACCGCGTTCTTCATGTTGAAGCAGTAGGACTCCAGGTTGTTCTTCGCCACGACCCTGTTCCTCTGCGACTCGTCCTCGGCGTGGTATCTTTCCGCCTCTTGCACCATTCGCTCGATGTCCTCCTTGCTAAGACGGCCCTTGTCGTTGGTTATCGTTATCTTGTTCACCTTCTGAGTCGACTTCTCCGCCGCAGAAACGTTCAGAATACCATTGGCGTCTATGTCGAAGGTCACCTAGTATGGAGAAGTAGACGTCAAGAAGAAGCTGAAGCAGTGGTGTATGATAAGTATGACAATTGCACCCTGGCGTTGCAAACATTAATTAATTAACCATTGAAATATTTTTTAAGATCGAAAATCTTTTTATTTTCGAACAGCCGAAATTCATGTCACGTTATATGGTGAAAAATGCTGTGAGGCGATGAAATGGGTGGGTAGTAACAGAATAAATATATCCCGTTACACAGCTTGTCGTGAGATACTTTTTTATATTTCTAACACAATCTAACATCTCCTTTACACTTCCTGACATATCCTGACAGCTCCTAATACACACTAACAACTGCTACCACCCTCTAACACCTTCAAACACTCTCTATCGTCTCCAAACACCCCCTAACACGTCCCAACCCCTCCTAATAACTCTGACCAACTCCTAAGGGCTCCAGACAGATCCCTTTATTTCTCTTCACTTTCTAGAATGTTTCCTATTCTCTCCTGTCCCTAAAACATCTCTTCGCTGTTCATGAGATCCGGATACAATAGGTAAGTTTCGAGATAGAATTATAAATTATGATACCTCTCCAAATATCATGATTTCCTGATACAAACGGTAAGTTTCGAGCCAGAATAAAAATTACAATATCTTCTCCATCAACACGTTCTGCTAATAAAAGAGGCAAGTATCGATATTCGATTAAAAGTCATGCCAAATTTTTTATATTGGTATCAGGAGCACATGATATGCGAAGAGGTGGCACGCTTGCGCCTGCGATCAGGCAACCGATCCGACATGTCTGCCAGTACGGGTTGCCTAATTCAAGGGGCTAATTTTCGGTA